ACGGAACATGTAAAAAACGTGTAGAAAATCCAGTATGTACACACGTAACGTAAAGACCGACAAAATGCGTTATATATTATCTATACACGTATAAAAAACAAAGTACAGACGTACCGATTACTTAGGACCACCTGGTATTGTTGTAGGTTTTGCTGGCTGATTGTAGTTGCATAGTTTGAATTTGAGAAACAACGGCATTGTGAAAACGTCAAGGACCACGTCGGGAACTCGTCGGAAACTCGTCAGAAACTCGTCGGAAATTTGTCAGAAACTCGTCAAGTGTCCGGACACACGTAAAAAAAGACCGGAAAATCGTCAGGACAAACGTCAAAAAAACTGGACACTCGTCGGAAATATGTTTTGAATTTGAAACTGCACGTATGTGAATACGTACTGCGGAAAAACGTAACGTGTTTCTGGACGAAAGAACTTTATATGTTCTTCATACATGATTATTTTTTATATGTTTTTCTTACCAATTACTTAGGAAAGAATGGCCAACCAGTCACAGAAAACGAGTGGCCTATGCCCCCCAAATTCTGCGACATGTCAGATGTCATGATATTAGCTGGATTTAGTTATTGTTGAATTCTTGGGCTGTCAGCAAATGCTATGGTAAATGTGGATTGATTATAGCAGTATGAAGTAATATTTTTAAGTTCACAGATGCATCTCCCTGGATCCTGTGTATTTTTCTTTGTTTTGCTAAGCATGTTCAAAAGTTTTTAGATGGCCAAGAGTTAGAAAACGCAGAAATTGAGGGGTCTTTCCGCTACTGTTTGGCCATTCTTTGGTTGCACGACTGTTTGGCCATTCTTTGGTTGCGCAACTGTTTGGCCATTCTTTGGTTGTGCGGATATTCAATATGTGACATCTGACCTGTCGCAGAAATTGGGGGGCCTAGGCCACTCGTTTTCCGCGGCTGTTTGGAATCATGACCTGCAAGTGTTTGAATTTTACCTATCCCTACCCCTTTCTTTTTCGTAAAAGACCCTATACTTTGCTCCACCAATGCCATTACAGAGAAAACTTAGCAAAGATAATGTATTAGAATTTTTGTGTCTTGCAATGTAAAGCCTCCTCCGACAAATGAAGCGAACTTCTCAAGCACATACACACTCAAAGAGTTGTGCAAGGTTTGTGTACTGATAGAAATAAAAGAGCTCTAACCAGTTGTAGTCCCACAAATCGCCAGAGCAGTCCACGGGAAAAAAATCCATGGGAGGTTGACATTCTACCACACATTAGATTGCCTGTACATTTGGTTTCTAGTCATCACTATTTTAGCTTCGTATACGAACCGTTCCATTGCTCGTGACCAGAGTGCCAGAAAAACGATCTTGTTGAACGTACCCGGTTCCATGGTGCTCCATGTAATGGGGTTCGAGTGACCAAAATGTTTGGGTTGGTGGTGTTCCGGATCGCAGCGCTATACTCCCGCCAATTATCTTGTAAAAGAGGTAGCTTGAGCCTCTTGTAATCTGCGAGCAATGCATGAAACACAATTTGATCATAGCTATGCTCAACGCAACACTTTGAGCTTGAACCAACATCCCACCATTGCTTGAGGAACGATCTGGACCATTCAGTGTTTCTCCAAAAATGCATACATGAACAAATTGCAATTTCATCTTGAATGATAAGTGACCTCTTTGCTCCAGCTTCGTCAATCACACTATCTACAGATGGAAGCGTGGTTGGAGAATTTCTCTTCGCCAGAATAAGAAAGTCCAAGTCGGTAAAAATTGTCCAGATATAACCGAGTTTGAATGAAGCTTCGATGCCGCGTATTTTACCAAAATGAGGCGCGCCAGTGTCTATCCAATCTCTTTCAGCAGCAATATAAATCGTCAACGCATATCTGTCATTCGAAATATTTGCAATATAGTCTAAAAAACTTGTGACTGAGTCCTTGTGCTCTTTCAGATACTCTATACTACTGCTGACTTTCAAAAATGTAATATTCTGCCCGCTATTGTACTCAGATATCAAGCATTGGGAACCAAATGAATTATTGGATGGCAATTCAAACATCTCCTCCACAGACGGAACTCTCAGACAGTTTGTCACAACATCATGGACAGGATTCTCGAAAATCTCAGTATTGTGTATCCTGGGCAGGTCGCTGAGTCGTGAATCCAGTGAAGGAAGAGATGCTCCAAACAATCTCAAGTCCCTGAATAACCAAAGTAGAAGCAAGAGCAGAAAATAACAATATTGAGATAATATTGAACATGGAAGAATGGTCTGACGCAGGTTCCTCATCTCTGCAGTATCGAATTCAATGTGCCACACTGTAAGGTATTAATTCTGTGCTGAAGCTCTCTACCGTTTGGCAAAAACGGATAATTCAAGGGTTTCGGATTAACGCGACCATGTGTTTCCCCGCTGGCGTAAGTTGAAAGTAACGTTCGACCAAGGATAGAAGGAGATATACTTCGAGCCTGCCGGCCAAAACCTCTTCACACAGGAGTTGACGTTGTTGTCCAACTTCGATTTCGCATTGAGTATTCCAAGTAGTCTAGAATCCTTTTTCTTACGCCAATAAGCCACAGCCTCTCATCGCATGCAATGGTGGTACCGCGGTAGCATATCATTGCTCTCATATTTGCCGTTTGCCGTATAGCCCCGACCGCGAAAGGCTCCTGTATCCCCCTCATTTTCTCCTACCTTGCTCACTCTTTTCATTAAACCCATACCCTGCCGATGAATACTCCTTCATACTTCTTCACTACATTTTTCAAAATGAAGGTGATGTCTCCAAATCGACTCCTTTTTGGGACACGACAAGAAAGTGCTCGTTTTCTCTGGCTTGCCAGGTAGGGATCATAGAAAAATGAAACCTTGAAACTGCTAGTGAAACATGGCAGATCAACAGGGGAATCCCGCTTTGGTGCCTAAGTAATCGATACGTCTGTACTTTGTTTTTTCTATGTGTATAGATAATATATAACGCATTTTGTCGGTCTTTATGTTACTTGTGCACATACGGGATTTTCTACACGTTTTTTACATGTTCCATGCCAATTTTTTTTACGCTTGTCCGCTTTTTTTATGCTTGTCCTGACGCTTGTCCGCTTTTTTTGACGCTTGTCCCAAAGCTTGTCCGCTTTTTCTAGCGCTTTTCCAACGCTTGTCCGCTTTTTCTGACGCTTTTCCAACGCTTGTCCACATCTTTGACGCTTGTCTCCACTTTTTCAAAGGACCGTTGTAAGTCAAACTTTTTGAAGTCGTCTCTTGGCATTTTGAATGTTTGAATCTAACACAAGCAAATAAATTTCAAAATGCCAAAGAGGAAAAAGACAACGAAACCCAAGAAGTTGAAGTTGAATGATAAGGAATGGGGTGTATTCTTTGCCAGGCATGAGCGGACCTACATCCCAGTGACAAAACAGATGAGACAGAAGGAGCCCCGGCTTATCTACATGTATTGGGTAGACCACTTTGGAGAAGAGAATCCCATCAAGGTATATGAACCTGGCGAAACATATGTGGAAAGAAAGAAGAGACTCGAAGCCAAACACGACAAACACAAGAAGAATCTTCATGAACGAATGACAACTGCGGAGATAAATGCAGGAGAACAATCAACCCTGACCGACTGTTTCTTTCTACCAAAGAAAAAGAAAAGAACATAGCAAAATCTTAAAATAGTGTTTACAGTTTCATTTCTGCTGGCCTAAGAAATAGTGCAAAATCACCATGTAAAAGTATTCATTAATGGATAATATATAAAAGTGATCCGTCAAAATTCTCCATACGGATCACTTGACGGATCACTGTGGTATATTTTGCACGTGCAGGCGTATGACGGATCACTTGACAGATCACTTGACGGATCACTTACGGATCACTTCTGATGTAGAATCCTGTAGAATTATGTACCACGGATCACTTGACAGATCACTTGATGGATCACCGTTGGAGCAAAGCTGATTCGCCATTAGTGACTCACCAGTCACAAACGCCAATCACGTTTATTACAATTGCATGTCCCACGGCATAATGATTGGAATGTATTGGTCGGAGTATGACTGGTACTCCTGGACGTATTAGCTTACAACAACGAGAATCTTTAGAACAAGTAGAAATCGAATTTTCAGAATACAGTGCAACTGCAAAGAGTTTTGCAATCCTCATTGTTTTCTGAAAATTCTAAAAGACTAAAGTGATCTACAGTACACCTGCGGTGCGGATCTATCTGTTCTATTAGTTAGACGGGACAGTCACTTCATAGGTGCTGTCGATCGGCATTTCTGGCGTTGCCTCAACCTTTTCAGAAAACAAAATGCCAACTGAAAGCGACGGCCAAGGCGAGTCGCCTCCAGACCCCGCCCACAGTCGGTCCGACCCAATCCGACCAAGGAGCAGGAATCGGCGAGGCAAACAAAAGAACAACACCAAGTTTGGAGCTGCATCCAAGCCCCCTTCAACTGTGGAACCAGAGCTAAAGGGATATTACTATGAGCTCCCGAACGTGGATCCAAGAGTACCCCCATTCCACCAAGTCGTGAAGGCCCACATTGCTTACTTCGTGTCAAACCGAAAGGATGCTTCCGATTTCCTGATGGTGGGGGAATCAACTTCAACCGCCAAAGACCCATTCTCTCTGTCTCCTTTGGTTGCACCAAACCTTCCGGATTGGGACAACAAACAGGAAGAACATGATTACCTAAAGAAAGGACAAAAAGTATGAGGCGGAGAAGTCTGTGTGCAAGGCAAATGAAGCAGCTCTTTGCGCAATGTTGAAACGCCACTGCTCCGCAGCATTCCTGAGCGCTGCTGAGAGCCATCCCAAGTGGAGCACGGTCATCGCGAACAACAGCTCAATGGACATGCTCAAGGTCTTTTAGATCGTGGCGGCCACGGGCGGATCCACCAACGTTGATCCAACCATGATGGGTGTCGAAGCTCAAAGGAAGGCTTCCACCTGCAAGCAGAAGGAAAACCAGACCAATGCAGAATACCTCCAAGTCTTCATGCAGCTTTCCAATACGGCCAGATTCTGCGACTGCCCCATGGGAGCCTCCCTATCCAGGCTCATCCAAGAGACCGGCAAATCGGACCCAACACTGGCTGAACTGAGAGCGGTAGAAGAGAAGATTGTGGAGAAGGAGATGGCAATGGCTTTTCTCCTCGGAGCCGACAGAAAGCGGTACGGGAGCCTTATTGCCCAGGCC